TTACTAGCTGAGAGCAAACTGTTTGCACCACCCAGGGATGTGGGGAAACTGAAATACATTGTTGGTGGAAATGTAAAATGGTATAACCACTTTGGAAAATATTTTGGCAGTTTCTTAAAAAGTTAAACATAAAATTACCATATGATTCAGCCATTCCCCTCCTAGATATCTACCCAAAATAAATGAAAGTATGTGTCCACACAAAGACTTGAATGTGAATGTTTATAGCAGTATTAATCATACTAACCAAAAAGTGAAAACAATCCAAATGTTCATCAGTGGATCAACAAAATGTGGTGTATTTATGCAATGGAATACTGTTCAGCTAATAAAAAGGAGTGATGTATTGATACATGCTACAACATGGACGAACCTCAATTATGCTCAGTGATAGAAGCCACAGAAGATCACAAGTGGTAGTGTTGGGTGCCACTGAGTTGATTCTAGCTCACAGCAACTCTGTGTGATGAAGTGTATGATTCTATTTATATGAAGGGGTTGCCTGGGGCTAGAGGAGCCCTGATGGCACAGTAGTTATGAGCTCAGCTGCTAACCAAGAAGTTGGCAGTTCGAGTTCACCAGCCACTCCTTGACAACCCTATGAGGCAGTTCTCCTCTGTCCTGTAGGGTCACTATGAGTCAGAATCAACTCGATGGCAGTGGGTTTGGTTTTTGGTTTTGGGGCTAGAGGTAGGAATGAAGAGTGACTGAAAATGGGATGGAAATATTCTAAAATTAGATTGTGGTGATGGTTGTACAACTCTAAATAGTACTAAATATCATTGAATTGTATACTTTAAAATGGTGAATTTTATGGTATGTAAATTATACCTCAGTAAAGTTCATCCTCCTTATGGTCAGAGTGACTTACTTCATCAGCCTTTCCCCTCACCCACCACTTTCTAATTTGTACTACCTTAGAAAACATATAGTCAGGCTTATTAGAACTGTAGATAACAGAAAATGGGCAGTAAGGAAAGGCAGGTTTGGGCAACCTATATTTTAGTACGGGGATACTGACACGGCTCTTTTGTGTTCTCAGAAGCATTGTAGGGCAGGGTGCTGGCTTTTTTTGGATGTTCTGGGATAGTTCACCTCAACTCTTCCTATCACAAACAGAAAGGGTGGGTTTATATATGTGAACAAGGTAAGAGACATGCACAGGGAGGTATGCATATCAAGAAACACTGAGATGCAGAAAAACATCTGAATTCTTAATTATTTTCCATAGATCATGGAGAACGCTGAAGAAACATCAAAGTGAACCAAAGAATTGCTTCTGTTACAGAGGCAGAAAATGAAACACCATAAGGTAAGAAAAATTAAGACATTTAAGTCTTCCTTTCCTAAATCAACGACATGCTTAAGTTATACCATGAAACAGTCTATACTGCTACAGGGTGTCTGTTTCTGTAATGTGAATTAGCTCATGTGCTGTTGGTAAATAGGGAATGATGTCAGTACAGTGTGAAGTCACATTGGTTCAAACATGATTTACTTCCCAGTTAAGTTACTGTGTTGAAGTGGTGAGGACAAGCTTTCTCTCAACTAAAGAGAAAGCCTATGCAATATATAAATCCAAACCAAACCTGTTGCTGTCAAGTCAATTCCGATTCACAGAGACCCTATAGGAAGGATAGAGTAGAACTGCCCCATAGGGTTTCCAAGGCTGAAATCTTTATGGAAGCAGACTGCTGCATCTTTCTCTTGCGGAGTGGCTGGTGGGTTCAAACCGCCGACCCTTCGGTTAGCAGCCAAGCACTTTAACCACTGCTCCACTGGGGCTCCTTTATATATAAAGACCTTAACTGAAAAAGATGAAAATCCTGTGAAGTGCCTCTTTTCATCGCAAGGAATGGCTGTTTAATGGCTTCAAAAACCACATTTTTCAGTCTGTTAAGCTATTTGGGGAAGCTGCAAGTACAGATGAAAAAGTTGTGAACACATTTCACCCTGTATACAGAAAAAGCATTGATTTATGAAGAAGGCCACCTCTAGATCATAATTTTTATATTGATGAAAATGTTTTTTTATTAGAAGCAATTGATTTCAAGGATCTGCATCTCAAAGGAAGATACAAAAGCCCAGAAGTTGAAGGCTGCAAAGGACAGACCAAGTGATTCTCAGTCTAACACCGGTGGAGATTTAGGTGGTTACTGTTACTGCTCAGCTTACAAAGTTCCAAACCTGTTTTTCCATTGTTGTTGTTGTTGGGTGCCATGGAGTTGATTCCAACTCACAGCAACCCCATGTGACAGAGCAGAAATTCCCCATACAGTTTTCTAGGCTGTGTTTATGGGAGCAGATCGCCAGGTCTTTTTCCCACAGAACTGCTTCATGGATTTGAACTGGCAACCTTTCAGTAAGCAGCCAAATGCTTAACCGTTGTCCTACCAGGGCGTAAGTTCTCTGATTTTAATGTATGAACGTGACGTTTTTACTCTGTTAGGGGCAACATAAAGAACTGGTTAGGCCGGAACAATTTAATTTCTCTAAGCAGTTTTTTCCAATTGTGAAGTTACAGTGAAAAAGGAAGAGCAACAGTGTTTTTCAGAAGTGTGAAAATAAAAGTCTTGGAATATTCTGGAATGGCTGCTATTCTACCACCAAAGGTTTGGGACTGGTACAGAAATGAAGCAGAGGAGCAAGCACTGGTGAATGTACCAGGGAGTCTCTGGATCGTGTCTTCAAGACTGGCTGTGCACATCAACCTTGCCATACAGCCCCGTGCAGGCACTGTAAATTGAATCTATCACAAATGTCAGTCAGTTCTTCATTCACCATTATTCATTTATTTAAAATACATATGAACTTGAGACACTGAGATAGTATACAAAATAAAAAGCCCTCTTCAAATTTTTTGTATTAATCAATAGACTATTTTTAGAACAGTCAAAAAAATCAAGCAGATGGTAGTGTTCCCATATACTCTTCTTCTGCATTCCAACAGTTTCCCCTATCATCAACAACTTGCATTAGTGTGGGGTATATTTGTTGCAATTAATGAATCAATATGGATACATTATTATTAATAGAGTCCATAGTTCACAGTAGGATTCACTCTGTTTGTTGTACAGTTTATGGGTTGTTACAAATGCATAATGTCATATGTGTAGCCACCATTACAGAATAGTTTCACTGCACCAAAAATGCCCTGTGCTCCACCTATTCACTCCCCACCCCCAAATTCCTGAAAACCACTGACCTTTTTAATGTGGCTATAGTTTTATCTTTTCCAGAATGTCACACAGTTGCAACTACACAATGTGTAGCCTTTTCAGACTGGCTCCTTTCAATTTAGCAATATGCATTTAAATGTCCCTGTGTCTTTTCATGGCATTCTTCATTTCTGTGGTGTTTTTTTCATTTCTAGCATTTCCTTTTGGTTTCCATCCCTGTTTGTTACCCAGCTGTTCTTACATGTTGTCTATTTTTTCCATTAGAACCCTTAACATATTAATCAGTTATTTTAAATTCCCTATTTAATAATTTCAAAATCTCTTTCATATCTGAGTCTGGTTCTGATGCTTGATTTGTCTCTTTGAACTGTTTTTTTTCCCTTGCCCTTTAGTATGCCTTGTAATTTTTTGTTGAAACCTGGACATGATGTATTGGTAATAGGAACTTGGGTAACTGGTCTTTTAGTGTGAAGTTTTATGTTAATATGGCTAGAGCTGGACTGTGTTTAATGTTTGTTGTCATTATAGATGCCAAAGGCTTCAGTTTGTTTTCTTCTAATAATATCTTTGGGTTTTCTTAAGAACTCCCTAAGTAGACTCTGTCTTGAAGCTCTCTTCAGTTGTAATCCACTGTTTCTCTATACTGGAGCCCTGCTGATGTAGTGATAAGGTATCATGTGAAAAGTTTTCACGTAAAACAAATGCACTGCATCCCAACCTATCTGCCAGAAATGGGATCAGGTGTGCAGAGACAGGGGCCCACTTAGTCCTCAAGATGGCCAGCACTGGGGGCAGCTGGATCCTCCAGGGCGAGAGGCAACAGCAGCCCTCACTGTTGTCCCCAATGTGCTGTATAAATAATTACTGTTGTATGTACTACAACATAAAAGAAATTGGAAAGCACCTCAGTAATGTACCATACAAATAGATGTGTGGTTGAATTTACTTAACACAGGTCTGAGATAAAACGACGTTTTCATTACTAACAAACAGCTTATAATTTCAGTACAATTATAAGTGGGCTCTTGGCAAATGGATAGTTCCTGCATTTAGGCCATACATATTTTACTGGTAATTTGAAACAATATTCTGCCACAGATTTTATTTTTTAATTACAGAATCTTCATTGAACATACATGATTTCTGTGTCTACTGTTACTAAAACAGTTCTATTATAGGTTCTAAGAATATAGTAGGACTTATATTACTACATTACCTGAACAAAACACATTATAGGTCTGTATTTTAGAGGAAAAGATTTGGTGGGCATCTTACTATGCAAATTCAATCCATAGAGGTCTTTCTAACAGATGATTTCCTTTGAGAGTAGCTTGTAGACAAATGGCTTTACTAGTAGTTTTAAGCTGACTTAAAAATGCCAAATGCATTTTTCGATGAGCCTGTTTCTCATTACAATTTAAAGCAGACGATTAACTTATAATACAAAATAACATATATGATAGAACTCCCTGTGTCCTCTAATTTGGTGCATTACCTTCTGAATAGGAGAAACAATTAGGGTAGGGGTTGTTTCTTTAGTAAATCTGAATTCAGTGGAAAGAGGAGTTAGATGGATATTTTTATTTAGATTGAGTTTTCTTGAGCAATGGGTACTCCCTTTAATGGTAAGAATTCCACTTTTCTTTCTGAAGTCTGAGCTAGTGTGAAAACCCTGTGACTGTATTACACGCTGCTGACTATTTTTAACTGGAAGAGCTAGGGCTGAGGTTCCCCTAGAGAGATAACTATAAAGAAAATTCCACATAAAATCTCTATTTCTGGGTAGGGCTCCTGCCTCCAAATCCTGGCATCTTTACTCTTCTATAAAGAATGATAATATGTCATAGACACAGTAGCAGAAGTGGGGAGGGGAAGAAAACCTCACCAAGATAGTTTCATACGCTGGTTACTGGTCCAGGTAAACCACATTCTACGTGGTAACTCTTAGGACTTACAGGGTACCCTCCACGCACACAAACTCACTCTCTCGTGCTAGAAGGCCCATCATCAGGGGATGTGGTAAGATACGTAATAGGTCTGGCATATCCCATCAACACTGCGTGTGGATGTTCTAGTTTAAGCCACCCCCAAATTTAGTGGCTTAAAATAACATACTCATACAAATATACAGTATGGGCAGGGCTTGAAGTAGACAGCTCACCAGTGTTCCTTTCAGCATCAGCTGAGATGGATCAAAGGCTAGGGACTGGGATCATCTGACAGTTAATGTTGGTTATCAGCTGGGACCATTATCTAGGACTGTGTCCAGAACATCTACATGTGGGCTTTCCATATAGCTGATTGGCTTCTTCACAGCATGGTGGCTGGGGGAGTGTCCAGAGAAAGCAAGAGACCTAGGCAGAAGCCATATTGCCTTTTATGACTGAGCCTCAGAAGACACGCAAGCATCACTCTCACTGCTCTGTCACCAAGGTGAGGAATTAGAGGGATTCCAGCTTCTGGTGGGAGAAGTTACAGACACATTTTAAAGTGTCTTAGCGGACTAGCTCTTCTGGTGGTGAAGTGAGGTCCTGGGTCAGACCTGACTGCCTTAAGGTCTACAGAATGGTAAGGATTTCTTTTTTTCTACTGTCCTTCTAGGCAGCCCTAAGAGATATGGGAAAGGACTCTCCCACTTGAGATATACCAAGGCACTTGTCCCTTGTGTAAGCAGCCTTCATGCCGGTTGAGGCAGGCATGGGAACCCAGTTCACTGAGCTTGTTTCTTTTTCCTCTGACCTCGTAATTCATGAAGAATTTTGGTGGGCTTTTTTCATTCTTGTAAACATTGTGGCTAAAAAATCAATACCAATTTTCATGAGTCCTTTGATGTTGACAGTTGCAGTCAAGTTAAGCTCCGACTCATGGCAACCTTATGTATAACAGAATGAAACTTTGCCTGGTCCTGCACCATCTTCATGATCGTTGGTATGTTTGCGTCCATTGTTGTGGCTATTGTGTCAATCCATCTCGTTGAGCATTTACAGATACATATATAAATACCAGCATCCCTGAAGCCCCTATATATCCCTCTTTCCAGTCAGTTAATATCCAGAATACATAAAGAACTCCTTACAACAAAAAGACAATCAATCCAATCAAAAAATGGGCAAAGGAACTGAATAGAATAGAT